TGTGTCTTTACATATGTATTAGAGACATCCATTGTGTGTGTGTGTGTGTGTGTGTGTGTGTGTGTGTGTGTGTGTGTGTGTGTGTGTGTGTGTGTGTGTGTGTGTGTGTGTGTGTGTGTGTGTGTGTGTGTGTCAGACATGCACAGTCTGGAGAAGCTGCTCAGAGAGGCGGTTTGTTCGGGGCAGCCTCGGACGCACAGGCCCTGGAAAAAGATCCTCATCATGGTGGAGGGCATCTATAGGTCGGTCATCTAAACAACACACACATTAGTGTAATCGCTCTCTAACAGACGCATATCTTACATCAGTAGAACTGTTGTATCCATCTTCTTTAGTATGGATTTCCAGGTGGTCTTAAGCAGAGTTTTGCACAGGTAGAAATCTTAAGTTCTAATGAGAGCTTTCATCCTGTGTTTAGCAGTCCTTGTAATGTTCTCTTTTTCAAATTGCTTCCCTCTCTAACCTTGAATAATAGAGAGTGTGTTGGTGCATGTGTGTGTGTCTATGGTTGGTTACCGTTTCATTACTAGAGAGAAGAGAAAGGTATCGTGTGTCTCTCCCGGCAGTGAGCTACCCTGAGTCATGGTGACCCTCTCCATCTGCTCATTAGCTCACAATCAAGGCCAAATGGAGTCAGAGAGATTGACTTGGCTACACCCCCAGCTCCAACTGTTTATCACTGCCATTTTTATTTTCTTCTCCCCTCTTTTATCTCTGAATCAGGTTCCACATTTCAGCCCCATTACCTAAAGACACAACAAATTCTTTGTGCTTTTATCCTTGAACATAGCCACCAGTCTGCGTTAATTTAAATATTTTAGTTTCACAACACACCTGGTAATTTGAGAGACACTGAATAATGTAATCAGACCGGCTTTATCTGGCAATAATGTATTTTGTCGGGCTTAAAGAAATGGCGCCTGAAAGAACTAATGCTCCATCTATCGCCTCCCTTTAACATCAAAAGGCTCAGATAAAGAGTAAGCATGCTCAGCTATATCCTAGCCCTGCCTTTGATGTCCACATGGGCCCCGGTGAAACCCTGTCTTGTGTCATTTGGGCCGCAGACGTCCTGAGCCATGGCAAGGATAGCAGGTCTGGGATTGCTCTATTTTCTCCTGCCGTACACTCGCTCATGCTGTCTGTTTGTAGCCTTAAACGGATTGCATCAGAGGGGAGGAAAAGAGGTGGGAGTAAAGTGAAAGAGGCCAGCCGGAAGATTCTTAAAAGATTGGAGCATGTCAAGTTATGTAACATGCCTTTACAGATGCACAGATGCTCTGCAGCGGATAAAAAGGGGTCGGGCTCAGATCCTCATCCCTTTCAAATCCAATCACTTTAAGAGTGATGTTTATAATTGATGAAATGTGTGTGTTAGTGTGTTCCTTGTTTGATTCTCGTGTTATCAGCATGGAGGGCTCATTGGTGCGACTTCCTGAGATCATCGCTCTGAAGAAGAAGTATAAAGCGTATCTGTTCGTGGACGAGGCCCACAGTATCGGGGCGGTGGGGCCAACAGGGAGGGGCGTGACCGAGCTGTTCAATGTGAACCCAGCCGATGTGGACGTGATGATGGGCACCTTCACCAAGAGCTTCGGGGCGGCTGGAGGCTACATCGCAGGGAAGAAGGTTGCTATGGATTTTTATCTTATCTTTTTTATTTGAATAATTTTATACCTGAGATTTTTTTTGTTCCCCAATTTTTCTTCTATACTTTATTTTCCTTGTATTGCTGAATTTCCCAACTGCGATGAAAAGTGTTATCTTATCTTATTATAAAGGTACATTTGTCACCAAATGTTCTTTTTAGTTTTCCCACAGAATGCTGGCTGAATCAAAACATGAGGAGAGAGAAGGAAGGGAAAGGCATTGTTGTGCTTTACATAAAACAAGATAAAAACAGAAACACAAGGCAACATTTCAAAAGACTCATTTAGATTTAGATACATAAAATAAATATTCATCATCACAGTTTTCAGTGACATCCATATTCATGCACCTGTTGGTTCGCCACTCAGGCAGAAAAGAGCCTGGTCGCTTTGCAAAAAGATTCCTCCTGGGTAAGATACATTAAAAAAAATACAGTGTGTAGGTGGGATTAATCACACTGAAATGATTCAACGGCTTTTAATAAAATGCTTATCTTAGAAAGTTCAATAATTGTTCTGATAGGTTCCTTACATTGTTTCAACCTCTGTCTGTGTAAATGAACAACATTTGGTTCGGAATCAGTTTCAAACACATCATTTATTGCTATGTGTTGTGAAATATTATTTCACACAGGTCTGATTTTAAGGATGTGTGGGACTCCATCACACCCCACCTCTCTCGTAGCTCTCATGTGTCCAACAAATGTTCCCCAGGCTGTGACTCCAGGCCTTTTTAATTCCTTTTGACTCCATTAAAAACTACACTTTAGTACATAACCGCACTGGTTTTGTGGCAGTTGATTAGAAAGCAACAGAGGAAACGGCCATGTTGCTTGAATTAGGTATTCAGAGAGGGACCCTTCCTGCCTTATGTTGGCTCAGCCCTGCTCTGCCATAATAAGAAGGTAAAGCTGGCAGAGGGCCAGCCCCTTCTTGTGGCAAGCGTCGGAACTGCGCTCCAGATTTAACAGGATGACTTTTAACAAGCATGATAATGTTTGAAGTAAGAACACTCTGCCTGGTTTGACAGCTGGCTGTAGTAAACCCCTGAAAGAGGCAGGCAGGAAAAGAGAGCCTTTAGATTTGACGTATTTGTTGTTGCGGTGAAATAACCCGAATCCTACATTAAGTGAATTCGGGTTGACCGACAAAAGACTCTGCAGATGTTTTCTGGAAAACAGTCATGTTAGAGCTATTTTATGAGAGAACCAAAAATAAATACACTTTAAGCTCCTTCTAATTCACTTCAACCTTGCGTGAAGGAGTATATTCATTAACCCTTTACTCAAAACCTGGATGGCATTATTGAGTTATATGAGTCATTAGTAGTGATGTGTCGGCCGCGAACGACCCTTAATTTCCCTGATATTACATGTCACTGCATGAATGCAGTGACATGTAATATCAAAGGATTAGAGACTGTTGGATGCTGTCGTTTGAGCATTGCAATATATTTATTTCCACTATGTTATTTATTTATGATTATCTTTAGGCTTAGCAAAGATTTGATGTCAGCTGTTGCTGTCTTGTTTTCTTTAGTCAATACTGAAATAGAGCCCTGCTGTTTTGTTAGGGCTTTTTCTTTAAATACAATTTTAAAATGTCAATACAGTAGCTGTCCCTTTTTTTTTTTAAATGTCTATGCTTAAGTTTTTATAGGTGTTGCTATCTGCTTTGTGTAGCGTGGTTCTACAAGCAAGTCAGTGCATTCATTGGGTGGTATCAGAGAGTTACAAGGGTCTGTAAATGCAATGAAAACATTTGGCCACAGCAAATCATTTATATTAAACATGTAATTTTTACTTTTGAATACTTCAGTACAAAGGATGTATTGATTAATTTAAGTGATATATATGTACACATAGGCCTATACACATCAAAACAGGGCTACATTTGATTTAATTATAAAAGGTATAATGTGGTAAACTGAAGAGCCGTTTGGGAGCCGAAAGAGCCGGCTCTTCTTGGTGAGCCGAGCCAAATGATCCGGCTCACCAAGAAGAGCCGGAGTTCCCATCACACACAGACTCCAAAAAAAACCACAACCCCTTGCGGCTGCTGTGAGAGGCCAAGCCTGTAACACTACCCCCACTGCACTACATCTGTATTAATAAACGCTTGTCAAACAGAGGTTATTACACGCACTCAAGCACGCGCAAACACACATCTTTTTAATGTATGCATTTAAAAACTTTTAATTGCTCCTTCCCTCCCTCTCTAACACACACAGCAGTCCTGCTCTCTCATATTAGCTTAGAAGGACACACATAGCTAACAGGCAGTTCAGTTAGTTAGTACCAGAGAGAGAAGATGTTTATTTCACTCACCTCTTGTGTAGAGGAAGGCCATTTTCCTTTCTTTCATGGTGGCGAAGTAGTCAATAACCATGCGGTAAAGTTTTCCAAAAGCCTATGGGTCCTCCACAACATTTGAGTCAATGGATATTTTTGGCTAGAAACATTTGAGCTACCAGCTAGCCACTGCGCAGACATCTTTTTCGAAAGTCGGAATATGTCCTTTATTTCCACTCTGTAGAAGCTCTGGTAGTCTGTGAGTTGGCCTCTCATCTGATTTAAATGAGTGTTGAAGTGGGAATTTCAGAAATGAAAAAAAAAAACTTAAAATCTGTACCCTCACTAACTGTTCCTGCTAGTGTTGTTCCTTGCTAACTGCGTCACTACGGGCATTTATGCGATTTGATTGGTGGAAAGTAAAAGGCCAGGTGGGTCACCTTGGCAGTCTAATTACAGAAAGGCATGACGTCTCATCTGATAGGTCAACCCCTTAATTTGTATTTCACCCGATTGGATTTCACCTGGGCATGCCAATTACGCATGGCTTCCTTGCGTCCGTCTACAGTGAATGCAATACTGCGATTCACCACACATTCACCGACACAGAGAACAGAAAAATAACCTACATTTAGTTTTTTGGGGTTAAAATTATAATTAAGCTCTGAAAAAACAGGGCTTCTCTTGGCCTCAAGGAGAAAAAGCCAGTGCTTGATCATGTTTTATGTGGCACACGCATAGACTTAATCAGTCATTAAAATGTAGGAATGAACTCAATTACACTCGATATCGTGAATGTGCTACTGTCCTACAGTATTGCATATAAATGTTTTGACCCTTTTATTACACTGATATTTAATGCACTGTTGAAAAGGTTTTGTCGAATTGGGGAAAATGCTGGGTTTCAAAGGGAATTGAGATGGAAAGTCATGATAATTTTAGGAGGCTTGTAATAGAACAGAAAATCATTTAACATCTATTTTTACATTTGAGTGTATAGTTTAAATGTGTTCTCCTTACAGAAGCACGTTTCTGGGCACATTACAGTGTTACATGCTGCCACCATGTGGAAGGAAAATATTTCAGTGGAAAAACACACCTCAACATGAAACCAACAACACATCACCATACAAACGACACTTGAACCCAACTACAGTTTTCATGCACTTCTTTAATATATCAGTTTTTCATATTCACAACAAATACATTAAGCTCTTTCTTCTTATGATACAGCCTTAAATATTTTTACACTCATCCGTTTTTTTCTCAGAAGTCTGCCTATCAAAATGTCTCTTTCCGTGTCTTTATTTTGAACATTTTATAATTTGTTACATTGGTAGTCTCCATGCCTCCTAGCAAACTGACAGTATTTCCTTTGTACAACTATTTACAGGTGAAAAAAAACATTAAGCTTTTCATGATAGTTCTCAATTGAAAGGAATCAATGGGTTTAAGGTGCAGGCAAGGAGAAGAGGGAGGGAATGTTCAAGAAGTAAGACGAAATTCAAGAACGGGAAGTCTTGGATGAGGAGGCGGAGCATTATGTGGAGAGCCTTAGTGATGGAGCTCAGTGTGTACACTTATTGATTCTATAAAGGTTCAGCAGACACATCTGTGGTGATATTATCATAGAAAGTAATGATCTCTACAGAAAATAAATACAGCACACTTCCTGTTGAAGAGGACAAAAGCGTGTGTGAGGCCGACAGTTCATTTTTGACCTAACGGTAATTGCCAAGATCAAACGCTCTAGAACAAGCAAGTAAAGTTGAGCCTGTATTGTCAACATCTATTTCTGAGGTTAGGAATGAACTGTATGACTATATGGACATTGACAGGAAGTCCTAGAAATGCTTGCTCGAAACAAAACTAAAAGAAGAAATCTGGTATATTCCTAGCCTTGAGTCTTCAATGATCTCCTTCGCCACACAACTTCCTCCTTTTCTGTGTGTACCAGTCAAATGTATTAATCATATCTACTCAAATTCTCCCTCACAACCCAAACAAGCTCAAATCTTCCGTAACATTTCAACTCATGTTTCTACATTGTTTCAGAGGTGTTACATGACCGGGTGATATGTAATACTTAATAAACTGCCTTCATAGTTTCTATATGTCAGTCAAACCCCAACGCAGGAGTCAAGTATAGGTCAACCAGATCTCAGCAATAAACTTGACCACAATTATGACCAAAACTATAAACAAGAGTGGTGCAGGAATGAGTCTTAAAATCTGGAAATTAGTTAACATTTAAATACTTCCGCTTCCTCTCGTCTCGAAGTCAATATTTTTTTTTAATGAGTTTTTGGTTTGATGCCTGAAATATGGTCTACGGTTAATACATTTTGTTCTGGGACATAAAATACATCAATAAACCCCAATGGTGAATGTCCAAAGCTTATTTGTGTCATAAAACAGCAGTTGCTAAAAGGTGACTTAAAGAGGCTAATAAACATCCTCATGACAAACGAGCAGTTTCCCTTTAGCTTAGCAGTGTTGACCATGAGTCATATGACCATCATGTAGTCCCTTTATAGCCTGACATTGGTTATTTTTACTTCTGCCTGTTGTAACTTAACGCTTTAAAAAAAAATTAAAAGTATTGATAGAATGTGGAGGTCCCCCAAAATGTTCCGCAATCGAATGGAAAAATCCCATTGATTATAGTCAAGGGATCCTTTTAGTCGGCCTGCAAAATGTGGCCACTGCACCACTCTGATAAGAC